TATTGATCAAATGCTCGACTCCATATTATGGTTTTCATTGTTCTAATTTCTTCACAATTGATCGTAGAATTTCATCTACATATGGATATGATTGAGTGTACGTTGGTTCCTATTTGTATATGTTTCGTATGGACATACTGGATTAGTAATTTCGCGGTTTCAAATAGACAATCCACATTATGCGTCTATGATATATGATTTTGAAACACTTTTCAAAAATTTTGGTGAAAACAATGTTAATGTGAATGTTATGAAAATTCAGGTTCATAATTTTATCTCCTGATTGTTGAAATTCTAGTTCATAATTTGAAACGAAATTCAACAAATTAAGAGCATGTTTATATTGATGTAGATGAACATATCACCTTTGTACTTTCAACGTTTTCTTCTTAACTGGTTGTGTATAATTGCATCAATACGTTTTAGTTGGGAAGGATTTCAACTAAAATTCTGATGATTCATTCTCTTCAAACAGTTCAAGCGTCAAGAGATCACAGATATCATGAAGGATTTCGATGAGCCGGGTCACCTCGCTCCCACAGGCTTGTTCCTAGCAGGGCTAAAGTATATGGTCATCCAAGGCGAGCCTGGTGCAGTCATCCGTGGCAAAAAGGTAACTAGAACACGATTTATGGGTTTGTACTTAGGTTTCGGTCGTTTCAAATACAACTTATGAGTTTTCATTTACATGTGAAAAACAATTTAAACAAAAAAAAAATCAGATTTTAAAAAATAAGCATTTTAACTTCTTTTTTTTTTGCATAAAACATAATAGCAAAGTGCAAAAAAAAAAACATGATACGTTAGTATTTGATGTTTATGTCTATAATTGTTAAGAATGTGGGGCGTTTGGAAAAAAAATTATAACAAACTAAACGTAAAAGCAAATGTAAACGCTAACAAAAACAAATAATTGAGGCATACGATTAGTAGAATCAACTCTTTATTTTTTAGAAGAAAAACATTTATCTAACAGTGGAATCAACTCTTGCAAAAACAATTGTTAAAGAAGTGATAATTTGCATTTGGTTTACAAACTATAGAAACCTTTTTTGTGAACCCAATATCCAAATACTTGCAAAAACAAATGGTCAAAACTTAAAACCATTTATTAGCAATTGGGAATTTAATGGGTTTTTATTGGAAATTGGGCAGGGAGCTGGAGGAATCACGATCAAGAAAACAGGACAATCAATGGTGTTTGGTCTGTATGAAGAGCCAGTGACTCCAGGACAATGCAACATGGTGGTCGAGAGGTTGGGTGATTACTTGGTCGAACAGGGTCTCTAAACCTACTAGAATGCTCCATTTCTCTTGTTCCAATTCATTGTTTCACTTTTTGTTGTTTTGGTAATTGGGTGCATGGGTTTTTTTCTAATTTCTAATTTAATTTTGGAGTTTTCTGGTTTTCTTTCTACCTTAATTAGCATAGTTTAAAAGAAAGCTGAAGCACAGCTAATAAAACAAAATCATGTGTGAAGAATTCGAGACGTAAAACACCATATATCTCTTTTTCTTGGTTTACGTGACTAATTGTTTGTTTTGATTTCATTGTATCTTACATTAATTTGTTGCGTATATATATATTACCCATGTGGTTGTAATTAATATGTAATTTCTTTGGCTTATTTTTTTCTCTTTGGTTTTTATTATTGGAAAATTTGTTAAATTGACTCAGTTTAAAATTAAAAATATCTCAATAACTTTTATACACATATCTTTTTATCCTAATAACCTTTGATATTTTCATAACCTAATTTTAACCTTCAATATTAGTAAAAATGAATTTTTAAAAATATTTTTGGAATTTAAAAAAAAAACAGATTATTTATTTTTTGCGGTTTCCTTTTTTAACATACAAAAAATAAATAAAAATATCAAACTAAATATAAAATATCAAACTAAAAAAAAATAGAGAAAACTAACCCCTCTCTCTCTCAACATCATCTTCTCCGCCTCGCGACATTATATTCATATATTTTTCCATTTTTAATAAAAAAATTGTAAGATTCAAAAAAATGCAAAATGTGTCACCGTGTGTCATCAAACTCGTGATCTCGAGGTATGGGTACGTGCGTTTTTGAACCAAGTGAGATGTAGGTATTTAATCGAACAATGACAAAAACATTATATTCATGTATGTTTTCCGTTTTTAATAAAAAAATTGTAGAATTCGAAAAAATGCAAAATGTGTTTTTTCCAAAAGCACTTCAAAAAACGTTTGACAAAAAAACGTCAAAAACGTTTGACAAAAAAACGTCAAAAACGTTTTTCATGAAAAGAATAAAATTAGGAAGGAGAATAATAGATTTAGAAAATATTTACCGAATATTACGTTTTTTGGAAAAAAAAAACTCACAATTTAATGGTCCTAGATTTAGGGGATTAACTTTGATAGAATATCCTTTCTACTATTTGGTAGAAGATAGAAAAAGCGGTAGATAAAAGAGGTAGAATATGTATTCTGCGTATCGTAGAAGACAGAGTTATTGGTAGAAATAGTATTCTGCGGTTGGTAGTATTGAAGCAAAATGGTAGAATGTGTAATCTGCGATATATAGAACTTGAACAATTAGTAAAATACTTCTTTGTACCACTCGTAGATTATACAAATTCGCAGAACACCTAATCTACTAGTAGATTCGGCCATGGTAGAACGAAAAATAAATAATTTTCTGTCATAGTTTTTTTGAAAAAAAAAATATAAACATGAATCTATATGCCTTGTACATTACTCTTTTGTATTTTTCTGATTTTATACAATTATAAAAACCATTTATTTGTAATTTTTAATATTAATCAAAGGGTAATATAGAAAAAAGTTGGCAAAAAAAAAGCAAAGGTTATTGGGATAAAACCAATTTTGTGAGTTAATTAAGCAAAATTCCCATTATTTAAACTACCAAAATCATCATTAGATAATCCCTAGTACTAATTACTAAACCGAATATTTTGGCTTGTTCCCAAACACAAAGAAAGGGAATTTTGGCTTCGACAACATCGAAAATAATAATAAAAACTATATAAAACCTAATTAATTATGAATCAGGTACACAGATTCAGATTGCCACGTACGTTAAATTGTCGTTTTGGTTAGAGATACAGGCTATATATCTGACACTGTGCTATGGCCTTATCCATCATCTCCACATAACTCACACAGAAACAATATGAGTAATCATCAAACTGTGAGATACATTTGATCTTTAGTTTGATTTTTGTTATTTTTTTAAATCATATGATCCATTGGATTTGTCAATCATGCATGTGTTTGTATCTTTTCTAATGTGAAGTTGATTACTTTGATTTTCTTAGTCCAAGAATCAGGTGTTGAAGCAACTGGAGCCATGGTCTGAGCTTAAAGACAAAGTGGTTCTTGTGACAGGAGCTTCCTCTGGTATAGGTAGAGAGATCTGTCTTAATTTAGGCAAAGCTGGCTGCAAGATTATCGCAGCAGCTCGTCGTGTCGACCGCCTCAACTCTCTCTGCTCTGAAATCAACAGCTTTGGTTCGACCGAGATCCGAGCCGCAGCTCTCGAGCTAGACGTTACATCGGACGCAGCCACCATTCAAAATGCGGTTAAGGAAGCTTGGGAGATCTTTGGAAAGATCGATGTTTTGATCAATAATGCTGGAATCAGAGGCAATGTCAAGTCGAGTTTGGACTTGTGTGAGGAAGAATGGGACAAAGTGTTTAGGACTAACTTAACCGGACCTTGGTTAGTCTCCAAATACGTCTGCCTTTTAATGCGTGATGCGAAACACGGTGGCTCGGTGATTAACATCTCATCAATCTCGGGGCTTCACCGGGGTATGGTGCCCGGTGGACTCGCGTATGCTTGTTCTAAAGGCGGTGTTGATACTATGACGAGGATGATGGCTATTGAGTTAGGTGATTACAAGATCAGAGTGAACTCGATTGCGCCGGGGCTTTTCAAGTCAGAGATCACACAAGGTCTTATGCAGAAAGAGTGGCTCAAGAAAGTGACCAAGCGGGCTATCCCGTTAAAGATGCAACAGACCGTGGATCCAGGGCTTACCTCTCTCGTTCGCTATCTCATTCATGACTCTTCTCAATATGTCTCTGGCAATACATACATTGTTGATTCCGGAACTACATTGCCCGGTCTGCCTATATTTTCGTCTCTTTGAACCTCAAATCATGTGTATTGTGTGCAATAATAAGTAAAAACATTTACACATTCCCCATCTACTTTTTAAGAACAAACCATGATTTGTAAAGTTTTTTTTAGCATAGTGTGTGCCTCCCAAGAATCATCGATCAGATTTGCAAAACTCTTCAATTTAAGACCTAGAAAACGTTAAAGAAACAGAGTTAGTAGACATACAAAAGATAAAAACTCTGTTTAATTATACAAAAGAAAAAGTTTGGGAGGGCCCAGAGCAAAAAATAAATTTTGGTCCCTAATTACATACTAATTAAAAAAAGAAAAAAAAAATTGGACCTTTTTTAGAAAAAAATTCACCTAAATTTCATCTGAAAAAAGGACCCTATGCAAATGGACAGTTAAAAGACCCTAGGGCCGCCCTGGTGGTATGCACCATGTCTTGCTAGTCTTAGTCCCAGTAGGTAAATCAAGCCGTCCCAAACAAAAGTTGCGATTTTACTTTGTTCCAAAAGGATGCCACTCGGCTCGTATGCATACTCCATTGTGACGTTTAAGAGTCCTCAACACTTTGCAGCTCTTCCAATCCTGAAACCTACACTTACCCTCGCCATCTCCCGACATTACAAACCGTCCATCTAGTGAGAAATAAACCTGACACGCATAAACTGCAACAATGTGCACAGCAAATCCCGACATTACCATTGCCTAATATCCCCGTCTTGATATCCCATTGCCCTAATTTCTTAATTATCACTCATATGGGCTACCAAAATGTTTAGCTTGTCATCATTCGGATTCAACTATATGACATACGGGACATTCAAACTTAATCAAGCCCAACCATTCAGAAGTTGGTCTCGTTTTTGGTGTGGCCCATGTATGTCCTCATACATTTAGCATAGTTATATAGATCGCAATTCTTAACATTAGTATCCATACCTACAAAGAGAAGCATATGTCCATGCTTGGAACAAACAAATTGCCGAGACACCTTTCGCGTGGCCACTCCATGTATGAACCAGACGTTTTGGAATGTAACAATGATCGTTATTTGCCTTCTTATCCTTGGGAGCCTCAAGATTCCTTAATAATCTTTCTTTTCCTTGGCAAGTTGCTTTTTGCCCCCTTTGGCCTCAAGGCCTCCAACACAGTGGCGAATCTAGGATTTTACATCATTGGGGGCAAACAATACTCAATATATATCAATCAGAAATATATTTTTCTCATCATGTTTAAAGACTTAATTAATAATATCTTTTATTTTCAGTAATACTTCGATAATTTATGTTGGA